TAAAATATATTCATTTAATGATTTATCGCAAGTAGCATTATTTTGGACTGCTGCTGCATGGAGTTAGTGCGGGTTTATTCCCCATTGAGTTTTCTTACCTTTATTCTGTTTATGTTTGGTTTTTTTTTCTCCTTTTCCCCCAACAATCAACCAGGTTTATTCCTTTTTTTCTTGTTGTTCCTTCTCTAACCTCTTTCTCTTTGGAGTAGTGAGAGACTCCATCTGTTTTGAGTAGATGGGTGAGGTGCACTATGTTAATAGCTTGTGTCTGTGTCTTCTGCTGTGAGGATAAGCATTTTGTGAAGAGAAATCAGTACAGCAGTTCTTCTTACGCAGAGTGCAGCCATTTAAGTGATACTTTACCAGGAATGGAGTATGAATGAGCCTGTGGGAAGTGATACAAGGTCATGGGGTGTCTGCTCTCCTTTTTTGGGGAGTAGTACAAAAGAGACATAGCAGAAGCACAGCTTTTTGAAAGGATGTTCTTGTTATCTTTGATCACAGGAATCAGTTTTAGCTGGCCTTTATTCCATTTCTACACAGTTCAGTTTTGGGGCTATTAGTGGAGTAATATCTGCAGAATATCTTTGTCAAGTTATCAAATTGGCAAATGAAACAGCAAATGTTTGATAATAAAATATCAAACAGCAAATGTTAGATGAGGTACATAGCTAGTCAAAACTTTACAGCCAAATGCCTCAGTTTTTCAGCAAGATACAGCTTTCTGTGAAGGTAAAAGTTTTCAAATTAATTTCTGTTTCCAGATTTTAATTGGGGAGAAAAGGGAGAAATGAAAAGTAAATAAAAATCCTAAAAAGCTTGGCTTTCAAATAAAATGTCTGGAAGTTACATTTTTTTAATGTTCTTTGAAATTATTTGCAGGGAATTTTTTTTTTTTTTAAATTTCCTCAACAAGATCCTTATGAAAGCACTTCAGCCCACAGGAGTGGGAGTTTTCCTTGTCTTCTCAATTACTAAGAAAAAGGAGAAACTGACATTTCTCTTATGAAAGTGAATAATTTTGTAAGATGAGTTTTGCTCAAAAGAAGCATTTATTATGAGGCACACTAGAATATGAACCTACCTTTTTTCCTGTTTCCTCATAGCTGCCTGCTTTAATGTTTTTGTTGCATGATGTGCAGTAAATGTGAGAAAGTATATCCCTTACTGGAAGGAGATTTAGCTGTTGTAAGAGCTTGCACATAGGAAGTTACAGAAGAGTGCTTAATGAATTTAAATAATTTTCCAAGCTTCTTTTTGAGTTTCAAAACAAAGACAGTTTGACTTGCTGGATTTAATTTTTTTCTGTGTTAATGGACCATAGGACATAGGCTTCAGTTCATCAGAGAGTTTAAGGAGGACTTTTAATCCAGTTAAAAATACAGGTGTGATAAAACATTTATTTCAGCAGGTAAAATGCACAGATTTAGGTGCTGTGTTGTACTTACTGCAGTGACTGCAGGTTTTTCAGATGCACCCAGCACTTGGGCAAGTTTTGCAGCCTGTTCCACTGTGCTGAAATAAATGAGTGTCTGGATTAGCCGATACAAACTAGATCAAGCTGTGTATTCATAGTGGTCTTTGTTCTGATATTTTCCATTATTTTCAGAACAACATCCGGATGAGGCTCCTTGAAAGAGAAACATCTGTGGGTTTAGGGGGAGTTTAGAGTTGGGTGGTGGTTTGAGATACTGAAAATGTTTTGACAAAAAGGCAATAAATATGTCTGTTTACCTCAGTTTTCAAGAACATGAAGTCATTCTTGTTGGAGTGATTACTGGATGTCTTACACTGCATGGGAAAGAGTAAATGCACTGTAAGAGCTACACTTTAATGCCTTGATTCATTACTTTGTCACTCTTGGAATGTGGCTATAACACTTGCAAAGTTTTGAAGGTTTTTTCAACCTGCTAGTGGAAAACTTCAGATTAATTTAAGTAATTAGGGTGGTAGGGACGCAAGGACTTGTTTTTCAGTCAGTGAAAATTCTAAGTTGTTTCTCTGAAGACAGCCAAAACCATTCAAGAAGAGTTATGGCTATCTTCCCAATTTGCAGGTTTTTTTCAGAGAATAAAGCAATAGAAAAGAGTTTTAAGGGTGAAAAAAGATAGCTGTGCATAGCATAGAAGAGCACTTCCTCAAGAAGCACTTGTGCTCTCCCTCCCTCCCAAGCACATTAATTTTGGATCTTACAGGATAGATTAACTTTTGTTTAAGTATAACCCCTCATAACCCAGAAAGTTTTGTAAGCAAGCAGGACCTTTTTCTTTATAGATAAAGAAGCAGGCAAAAAAATCTGTATGATTTGTTTGAGATAATAGAAGGAATCTCTCAGAACTGGATAGAAGACTCTTGAAGGGGTGATGTTTGGAACAGTACATTCAGATTACTAAGTAACACCCTTCAGTAAAAAAACATTATACTTGAGTTTGCCTTTAAAAAGATAATGGAAGATCTGAAGAGCCTACCTGAGATGAGAAAATCAATTCCTTACAGCATCAAAGGAAAAGATATATAGAGTGCTAGAACCTCGATGAAGAATATGAACAAAAATATTTTTTGGCTGTTCTTGAAAAATGCTTTACTGACTTTCAATTCTGTATGGCTGACTCCTGGTTGCAAAATAGAGTTCCAAAGTATATGACCAACAAGTATTCTAGCCTGTCAGTTAGCCAACCTCTTTTTGGTATAGATCCTTTTATGGTTCCCTTACTTTAAATAAAGAAGAAAATCCAGTTTTCATAAAAGCCAAGATCAGTTATGGATATATTTCTACATATGACAGATTAAGTTCCCAGATTCTTAGGAAGATCAGAACTAAATTTAATTTAAAGGACCTTCATCAGTATTCAGGTAAAGCCATATTTCATATCACAAGCAGCATGGGTTATTGGCTAATAAGAAGAGAAGTTCCTTTACAGAAAATATAGGAAGAAAACAGTGTATTTACATGAAGAAGCAAATGCAGAGAAGACAGGCTATAGCAAATTGTTGCCAGGTATTGAAAATAGACTTGTTGAATACAGAAAACAGATGAGATAAGTTCCTTTCTTCTGGGACAGTCTACAATAGAAAGAAACGTGTTGTTCCTTGTTCATACTAAAGAAAGGCAAACTTCTTTCTCTTCTCTATAATAGGGGTCTTTATCTGGGAGAATTTCTTAAAGCTTCAATGTGTCTTATTTAGAATTAATTTCTTGCGTCTGTACATGTACACCATGTTCACAATAATTCCAGTTTTCAATATTAGATGCTAAAAGTTTATTCTTTGGCATTTTGCCTTGTCACATAAATGAATGTGTATCTAAACTCTCAGACAGTATTTGAAACAGGTTGCAATTGTTACAAATAATTCCCAGGCAATTTGCATTCCCAAAGAGATTTCCCTTGAGAATCCTTTGACTGTTTGCATTCAAAAGAAAAACAAAATCCCAAATTCACATGTTCAACAGTTCTTCCTTCCTTACAACCTGATATTTAGTTTGTAGCTATTAGCTATAATTTCCCTCAAATAGTAAGTAGAAGCAATTAAAAGATTTTGGGTGAACGTTTCATTTATAATGCAGCAACTAAATATGTATTCCTGGTTTTATGCTCCGATGTTTTTTCTTGCAGTATTAGCCAGTGATGAATGTGCAAAAAGTGGAGTTGGGGTTTCAAGTTTGTGAAACCATTGAGATGTATTAGATCTAATGCTGTTCCTATTTTTATTGCTGAATCTTTACTGCCACCTAACAGAGAAGATATTAATTCTGTGTTTTTCTTGAGGTTGATGAATGAAATGAGACAATTTTCTGTTCTATACTTTGCCATAGCCTCTTGTGATCTTGCATGTACTCTTAGGAAAACTTTAAGAACATCTGAGGTCCATTATGAAAGATTGTGGAGAAACTCCATTAACTTCTTGTTCTTACTATTTTGATGTACCCTTCAACTCAATGAGTACTAGTTTTGTAATTTGTCGGCACTCCTGGAGAGTTCTGGCAACAAATATCTTTCTTGTATATAAAGAATATCTGTATCCCAAGGAAATCATACCTTTGTTTTGTTTTGTTTTGTTTTGTTTTGTTTTGTTTTGTTTTTTTTATAGAATCAAAGAATAATTCAGTTAGAAGAGAACACATGGTCATTTGCTTAAAACTCCTTTGCAAAGCAGATTCAGCCCCATGTTTCTCAGAGCTTTTGAAAACTTCCAATGATAAAAACTTCTATGGCACTTCCTACAGTGTTGTGGTTTTGAAGTCTATTCTCATTTCTGGATGTCAAAGACACCAAAGATATTGTTCTGAGCTACCAAAATGTCTCTGTAGAGGTGTGAAAATAATGTGTGAAGGGTGACTAGAAAAGAAAGGATTCAAGCATGTCACTGAATCTGTAGCATCATCTCTTACCTTCGCATAGGAAAAAAAAAAACAAATGGGAGAAGCTTAAGATGATGGGTGATTGCCTGGAAAAAAATCTTCAAAGGGCTATAACTCTGAAGCTTTTTAGCTACATTGCTTCAAAAGGAAGAGAAATGCTCCTCAGCCTGGCTTTCTAGGCCAATTACATTTGACTGGTTTATTCTAGGTTGTAAACCTCCTCACTCAAATCCATGCATTTTACAATAACCCTAGGTGGCTCTTTGTGTGGAGCCTGGATTAGCATAGGTTAACCTGAAATAGTAGGCTGAGGTTTATGTTCAGCCACAATTTTGTTAGAGTTCATGATCACAGATATTTTCGGGAGTTAGCAAACCTGAATGGTGAATCCTTGACAGCAGTGCTGCATGCATCCAGGTGCTTCTGGAAAACTTTCAATGCTGGCCAGATATTTGCAACACCCTTTGTGTGTTTAATGACATTTGAAACTGTTCAATGTGTATTTATGTACACCATAAGCCAAATGAAGCATTCCTCTCAAGTGTGACTGAATGTGTTCTTACCTTGTCATTGGATGTTTATCTTAATTTGCTATCCCTTTGGTTTTTGCTATGTTTGTGTCTTTTCTATTTTTTTCCAGAATGCAACACATTTTCAGATGCATTAAAGAGATGCTGTAGCCAAAAGAAGGAGAACTCTGTGTTCAATGAGCAAACAGATGAAGCATCTGCTGCTCAGTATTTTCAGGTAATGAAACTTTGGTGACAGTTTGTGAAATCTGAGTTACTGTTGTTTTCTTGACCTTAGTCACCAGGTCAGTTAGAAAGATAACTTAGGTTTATTCAGAGGGTGGTCAGGACCTTGGTAATTTAAGTACCAAGTAATTTAATGTAAGATTGACAGAAGGGCTTTATCTTTTTTCTGTTCTTCCTCTCTTTTAGTTTTATAGCTGTCTGTCTCAGCAACAGAATATCATGCAAGATTTTGTGAGAACAGCCACTTTTCACAGAGCTATCATACAGAATCACATAGATTTTACAAACAAGGTAAGCTCTGTTACGTGTCTTAAATGTTCCAGTATACTGTTTAGGATTTAAACTTCAACTTGACCTGTAGAGCAATACTGATCAAACTGGAGCCTTTTCCCACCTGGTACTTTGTGCATGAATATACTAATTGTCATGGTGTAAACCCAGCCAGCAGCCAAACACCACGCAGCCGCTTGCTCATCCTCACCAGCCTAGGGAAAGGGGGACAGAATTGGAGGAGTAAAGGTAAGGAGAGTCATAGGTTGAAATAAAAACAGTTTAATAATTTAAATAGAATAAAACAATAACAATAATAGAAAATACAAATAGGTAATGCTCAATGCCATTGTTCACCACCCCACTGACTGATACCTGGCCTGTTCCTGGCTAGCAGTCCCAGAGAAGCCATGATCCTGAAACCACAATCTTGGAAGCAAGACAGAGCCTCCCTTTCCCAGCCAACCCTCCTCTATGTACTGAACATGACATTGCATGATATTAAATATTCCATTGACCAGTTTGGGTCAGGTGCCATGCTCCTTCCCAATGTCTTGCACACCCACACACTGGCAGGACATGGGAAGTTGGGAAGCCCTTGGGTTCTTGGCAACAATTGAAAATATCAGTGTATTATCAACATTTTTCTCATACCAAAGCCCATACTGAATCCAAATCACTGCATTGTTCTAGCTACTAAGAAGAAAACTCAGCTCTGTCCCAGCTGAAACTAGGACAGTATCTACCCCTTATTCCATACCATTTATGTTATGCTCAGGTGCCACACTGCCCAATACATTCCAAGTAATCACCATCCCTTTTCCTGGTTTTTGATGTATAGACACAGTTCCCCTTGTATTATTATTCTATGGGCCATCACTCCGAAATTTATAGTGAGTTTATTTAGTCCATAACTTTGGGTTCCATCTGTCATGACAGCCTTTTAAGGCAGAAAGGGTGTGGTGGAGTTGGCTCAGTCAATGGAGCAGATTACCTTGGATGCAGCTGGGAAATGGCACGTAGTCTCTGCTATATTTGGAGCTCATAGCTGATGTATTCAGCATGGTCCATGCTCAAGGTATGCAGCCTGAAGATGTCAATCTCGAGGATGTTGCTGGGCACCAGTTGCTGAAATCAGTCCTGGCTCTATCGAAGTTCATTTTTTATTATTGTGATGTCATTAGTAGGATGCATATCAACCATAGCAATGGTGATATGCAATAACAGGGTTATTAGTCATCATCATACAGTTACATTCATTGGCTATTTTCTTCCCAGATCAAATCCCACTGAGGTAGACATTGGACTTCCCTGTCCTTCTGCATTACCCATCAAGTGCACCCAGGTCCTTGGGCAAAAGTAGTCCCACACAAGGGTTTACCTTCACTTGAGGCAGGAATAACCCAGACTGCCTTCCCCAGCATATTTTTAATGCCCTCTACAGGGACTTTGTCCCCATCTACAGTACATAGAAGGTTTGAGTGAGCAGGGCCAGCCTGGTTGGCAGATCCTCTTATATAAATTTAACAGGTGGCTTTTGCTAAATGCATATCCCAGTGTTTGAAATTTCCACCACTTACTGCCCTCAGTGTAGTTTTTAGTAAGCTGTTGTATCACTTAGTTTCCCAGAGGCTGATGCATGGTAGAGGATGGGATACACCCAGTCAATGACATGATCTTTGGCCCACGTGTCTATGAGATTATTTCAGAAATGAGTCCCATTATCTGACCCAAGTCTTTCTCTGCTACCATGCCACCACAAGACTTGCTTTTCAAGGCCCAGAATAGTGTTCCGGGTGGTGGCATGTGTCACAGCATATGTTTCTAACCATCCAGTGGCTGTTTCCACCATTCTGAGAATGGTGTGTTTTCTGTGCTGAGTTTGTGGGAGCATAATATAATCAAACTGCCAGGCCTCAACATATCTGTACTTTAGCCATTATCCTCCATACCACAGAGGGTTTTTAACTCACCCTTATGTTACCAGTCCAGATCCACTCAAGCCACCTTAATCTCAACATAGCAATTTGATCCACCTGTTGGTTGTCCTCATGTTCTTCACTGGCCCTGCTCTTGGGTACGTAAGTATCTACATGGTGTACTTTCACAACCAGATTCTCTACTCGAGCAGCAATATCTTGCCATAATTCAGCAGCCCAGATGGGTTTGCCTCTGCACTGCCAGTTTCTCTGTTTCCACTGCTGTAACCACCCCCACAGGGCATTTGCCACCATCCATGAGTCAGTACAGAGGTAGAGCACCGGCCACTTCTCTCACTCAGTGATATCCAAGGCCAGCTGGATGGCTTTCACCTCTGTGAACGGACCCGATTCACCTTCTTCTTCAGCAGCTTCAGAAACCCATCGTGTGGGGCTCCACACAGCTGCCTTCCACCTTCAGTGTTTCCCCACAATGTGACAGGACCCGGCGGTAAACAGGGCATATCGCTTCTCGTTATCCAGTAGTTTATTATAAGGTGGGGCCTCTTCAGCATGTGCTGCCTCTTCCTCTGGTGCCATTCCAAAATCTTTGCTTTCTGGCCAAGTTGTGATCACTTACATTATTCTTGGGTGACTGGGGCTCCCTATTTGAGCCTGCTGTGTGATAAGTGCCACCCATTTACTCCACAAGGCATCAGTTACATGGTGTGTAGAGGGGACACTCCCTTTGAACATCCAGCCCGGCATTGGCAGTCGGGCTGCCAGGAGGAGCTGTGCTTCAGTCCCCATCACCTCTGAAGCAGCTCAAACCCCTTCTTGTGCTGCTCATATCTCCTTTTCAGGTGGAGTATAGCAACTTCAGATCCTGTATATCCCCAACTACAAAACCCCAGGGTTTGACCCCAACTCTCCCCAGGTGCCCTGTGCCAGAGAGTCCACGTAGGGCCGTTCTCCCTGGCTGCAGTGTAGAGCACATTTTTAACATCTTGTCCTGACCAGACTGGTCCAAGATCTACTGCATGAACTATTTCCTGTTTAATTTGTTCAAAATTTTGACATTGCTCAGGGCCTCAATTAAAATAATTCTTCTTCCAGGTGACTTGATAGAGAGGGCTGACCATCTGATTAATTAGGAATGTGCAGTCTCCAGAAACCCACAACACCCAAGAAGGCTTGTGTTTCCTTTCTGTTAGTCGGTGGGGACAGAGCTGTTATCTTATTAATCACCTCCATTGGAATCTGACAACATCTATCTTTGCTATTTTATTCCTAAAACCTGAATCTCCTGTGTGGGTCCCTTGACTTTACTTCATCTTACAGCAAAAACAGCCTTCAGAAGGATTTGGACTATTTTCTCCTCTTCCTCAAAAATTTCTTCTGCTGTATCCCCATACAATGATGTCATTAATGTACTGCAGGCATTCCAGGGCTTCACCCTGTTCCAGTGCAGTCTGGATCACTCCATGGCAAATGGTGGGGCTGTGTTCCCACCCCTGGGGCAGTTGATTCCAGGTGTATTGGACACACCTCCAGGTGAAAACAGTGGCCTGCACTCTGCTGCCAAAGTGGTTGAGAAGAATGCATTAGCAATACAATCGTGGCATACCACTTGGTTGCCTCTGACTCCAGTTCATATTGCAGTTCTAGCATGTCCAGCACAGAGGCACTCAGCAGTGGGGTGACTTCATTCAGGCCACAATAGTCTACTGTCAATCTCCACTCTCCATTAGACTTTTGCACTGGCCCTATGGGGCTGTTAAAGGGTGAGTGAGTCTTGCCGATCATTCCTTCAGTCTCTAGTTGATGAATCAGTTTATGGATGGGAATTACGGAGTCTCAGTTGGTGCAATATTGCCATCAGTGCACTGTTGAGGTAGCAATTGGCATGCATTGTTCTTCAGTCCTCAGCAACCCCATAACAGAAGGATCCTCTGAGAGAGAGACTGGGCAATGCAGACAGCTGTTTGAATTCTTCTGTCTCCAAGTTGGCTGTACCAAAAAAAAGCCCACTGGTACCCCTTTGGGTCCTTGAAATACCATCTCCTGAGATGATACCAAGACTGAACAAAGCTTCTGGGCCAGTCACAATGGGATGCTTTTACCACTCATTCCCAGTTAGGCTCATCTCAGCCTCCAACACAGTCAGCTGTTGAGAACCCACTGTCACTCCAGAAATGCAAATGAAATGCGCTGGGCACCAGTGTCATTTGGGCCTTATACTCCTGGAAGTCCACTGTGCACAGTCCAGTAAACTTGGTTGTCCCTGTCCTTCACCTGGGTGGAGGCAGGCCCCTCTAATGTTTGTCATAGTATCTGCTATTGATGAATGGGCTAGTGTGGTATGTGTGGGTATCAGTCTCATCTTGGCTATGTACTTCTTGTGAATATGAATCAAAAGTTATGCTCCTAGGATAAGGAGCAAAGTCAACCCTCCTGGTCTGTTTGGGCAAGTGGTTACTGGAAACTGGAGCAGCAGTATTACTTCTGAAGGAACCCCTGTTTGTACTTCTTCTTTAAAACTCATGTACCTGCTCTTCTAAGTGGTAGGTAGGTTTTCCATCCCATTTTCTCATGTCTTTTCCATGGTCATGCAGGCAATACCACAGCTTTCCCCATGGTGTATACCAGTTCTCCTGAGTAGGAGAAAATTTGCTTCTAATAGCTGAGATATTAGTCTGTACAGGTGGGAGATGAAACTTACCCTCAAATTGCTAGAACTCTGGGAACAGTTTCTCTATGTGTTTCTCCAGGATGTCTGTTAGTTTTTCTACAGCTGAGATGCAGGCCCATAGGAAGGAAGAGAGATTCTCTTCACATTGCTGGAGTTGGGTAGCCACTTCATTCACAGTTGGTGCCTCATTGTCTCCTCCTAAATCTAGTACTGCCAGTGATGATGGCATGCCCTGTACAATGTTCTGCCACATGACTCATCCATAGTGGACATTATCTGGATCTTCAGATAACTGCGTGTCGGTTGGGTTTTAATAAATCACCTCCTGCACAGCTAGTTCCCTCAGGCACTAGATACCTCTCTTTATATTGTCCCACTTGCCTAGATTACATGCAGTCTCTTTGTTGTAG